CTGAGCTACATAATCAACATATCGAGTCCACCCAGGCATATGACATACTCTGAGCTACTTAATCAACATATCGAGTCCACCCAGGCATATGACATACCCTGAGCTACATAATGAACATATCGAGTCCACCCAAGCATATGACATACCCTGAGCTACATAATGAACATATCGAGTCCACCCAAGCATATGACAAACCCTGAGCTACATAATGAACATATCGAGTCCACCCAGGCATATGACATACCCTGAGCTACATAATCAACATATCGAGTCCACCCAGACATATGTCATACCATATGACGTAGGTCATACCCTGAGCCACATAGGATACCGAATATCTTGGTATTGCCTTGCACGGTTCTAGCTTTGAGGCCGAATAGTTTTTTTTTATCAAATCCTTCAACGTCTCCTACTGGAAACTATACAGTGTTCATTCCTTGGATGAAAAATGAAAATCATACAAAAATAATGTCAAAATATTTACTCATTAAAAGTGGTGTAGGAGATAGAGTGAAACATATCAATTACTCAATGACAAGATACCTTATTTTGTAGTCTGATACAATATACCAATGACAAGTTATCTTATTTTGTAGTATGATACAATATCCCAATGACAGGTTATCTTATTTTGTAGTCTGATACATAATCCCAATGACAGGTTATCTTATTTTGTAATATGATACAATATCCCAATGACAGGTTATCTTATTTTGTAATATGATACAATATCCCAATGACAGGTTATCTTATTTTGTAATATGATACAATATCCCAATGACAGGTTATCTTATTTTGTAATATGATACAATATCCCAATGACAGGTTATCTTATTTTGTAATATGATACAATATCCCAATGACAGGTTATCTTATTTTGTAATATGATACAATATCCCAATGACAGGTTATCTTATTTTGTAATATGATACAATATCCCAATGACAGGTTATCTTATTTTGTAATATGATACAATATACCAATGACAGGTTATCTTATTTTGTAGTATGATACAATATCCCAATGACAGGTTATCTTATTTTGTAGTGTGATACAATATCCCAATGATAGGTTATCTTATTTTGTAATATGATACAATATACCAATGACAGGTTATCTTATTTTGTAGTATGATACAATATCCCAATGACAGGTTATCTTATTTTGTAGTGTGATACAATATCCCAATGACAGGTTATCTTATTTTGTAGTCTGATACAATATCCCAATGACAGGTTATCTTATTTTGTAGTCTGATACAATATCCCAATGACAGGTTATCTTATTTTGTAGTCTGATACAATATCCCAATGACAGGTTATATTATTTTGTAGTCTGATACAATATCCCAATGACAGGTTATCGTACAGAGTTAAACTGGATGAAGTTATTTTTTCCTATACTTAGTTCAAATTGAAGAACAAGTGGTGTAGGCACATTTGCTTGAGTGTCTTAAACAGGTTTTATTGTGTTTAAACAAGAAACACGCGATTCCTTTTTTAGTTTCTATGATTAATTTGGAACACTAACCTTGTCACAAAAAACTTTTATCTGACAGAAACCACGGTGTATGGGGTTAACCCCCTCTCTACAGTCATCAAACGTGTCGATTTGTAGGTGAAGAGGGAGACCCTGGAACAAAAAGATGACAAAACTTCAACTCAAACTCAGGAATAATAATGAAACTAAAATGTTCATACAAACACAAATACATAACACAAGAATTGATTCAGTTCGTCAGCTGGAACTGATAACGAAAATGTTTCTAGAATTTCAAAGAATCAAAGTCAACTGGAAACTGTTCACAGCTTCTGAAAAATTAAAACACGCAAAAAACATTTGAAAAAAAAATCTAAGACCAAAACTTATAAATATCACAAAAATTTCGGAGTAAACGTAACAAGACATTTTACTCCAGATTATAAATAAAGCTGTGTTCTAGGTATGTTTATGTTGGTGCACCGTACTCCAGATGGAATGTTTATGTTGGTGCACCGTACTCCAGATGGAATGTTTATGTTGGTTCAACTCACTCCAGGTGGATTGTTTATGTTAGTTCACCCCACTCCAGATGGAATTTTTATGTTGGTTCACCTCACTCCAGGTCAAATGTTTATGTTGGTTCACCTCACTCCAGGTCAAATGTTTATGTTAGTTCAACTCACTCCAGGTCGAATCTTTATGTTAGTTCAACTCACTCCAGATGGAATCTTTATGTTAGTTCACCTCACTCTAGGTGGAATCTTTATGTTAGTTCAACTCACT